CGGTGGATGTTGACGGTTTTGAAGATATTACTACATCTGTCATATTCACTCCATATGAGTCTATGTGACAAGTTATGCATTATTAGCTTTATTGTAGAATTAATCAGTAATAAAATTAAATGTACATAGATTAAAAAGATCACATTATGTTAGGAAAAATGGCGTCATGAAGGAAGGAATTAGTTCTATACAAACGTTTTACTCACATTCACTAAGTAACGATTTGTCGAATGTTATGCCATCAATCTTCACGATATACTCAGTCCCGTCTTCATTTGTTTCTACCTGGACCTGGCATATCAAATAAATTTTATTGATCAATTACTGTGGGTTGTACCATGCAGTAAATGTCATAAGGCATGGACGACTTTCAGTGGTAATTTATAAAATATTTACTAAAGATCCTCATACTCTATCTAAATCAACAAAAGACACTTTCATTGACTGTCTAAGCCATTTGGCAACACCCATCACCCATGAATCTTTGTGAGTTTCCTTCAGCCATTAGCTAGATTAACTACATCACTAAACGCATTGTGATTGGTCTAGTTGTTGCCAACAACAGTCATTCAAAATTTATAAAACATTCATAAATATATTATATTTGAAACAAATTAATCCCCTCATGACATTCATAGTATTAAAACTAAATAAAGAAATATTGTTTTTTATTTATGTTAATTTACTGGTATGTTCTTCTGCACAGGAAGTGGTATGCAGGCATATTTTCTAAGTATAAACAAAATGTTCTTCCTGCAATTTTAGAAAGCATTTTTGTTGCAATTCCACCCGTGGGATTTAACACTTACCGTGGATGAAGAGGATTCTTTGGCAGCGAATGCTACAAAAATCGTAGCATGATCTACAGGATTTCCATCCTCGTCCAAGGCTTTAGCTGTCCTACCTTGAAGTCTGAAGAAACCATTATCAACTGTAGCCAATGTATATTCCCCAAAACCATTGAACGTGTATGAAACGCCATCTAGAGTCGTAAGATGAGGATCTCCAATCATCCACCCTAAAAACAAACATTATAGTAAATAGTTTGCCTTACTATATTAGGAAATGCCCATTCCAAATATGGCAGGATTATTATGCGGTATTTCCAAGATGGTGGGCGCACGTTTATCAAGCGATTGGTTCAGATGATTAAGATGTATAATAATAAGGATATAATCATCATATGTCATTTTATTTTATTACATATTTGTTTGTATCTTTTTCTTTATATATGGACTATGTCTGAAATAAAACCATAATAATAATAATAATAATGAGGATACCGCAAAGTATGCACAAAGATAATATGTGTACGACAATACTTCTGCTGTACTGTCTTTGTGCATACTTTGTTCTATTCTCGTATAAATTTCAGAATATTAATACCTGATGCTAATATGTTATTTTATGGTGTCTTCTTGCCATGTAAACTTTGGTATAATAACTAAAAAACTTACCCCATATTGGAGGAATGTAGCCGCTGCAGTCACCAGGAGGGCGCTTCTCAGCGTACAAATCACAGAAATATGGGTCACGTGATAGTGCACAACAATAGTAGCGAGGGTAGATATCATCATCTAGCATAAAACAGAAACACAAATGAAGACTATGTACAGTAATGTCGATTAAAGCCTTTTCCAATTCTAGTAAATTTTCCCGCAATGTATTCAACGACACAATAAATGCGCCATATAACCATTCACATTGTATATATATATATATTATTAAACTACAGATCCATACACAAAGTCCACTAATTACTGTATACTTACAAATCCAAAGAAAATATCTCCTCCAATCGAAGAACCACCACCACCACCATCCACCACCAATGCGTCCAAAAAACTGATGACGCTCCATGAAGCTACTTTCCCATATGGAATGGCCATAACCATGCAGAAGTGTGTGATCGGAACGATATGAGCATATTTGTCCGGCTCCGTGTGGATTAGGAAACGATGTCTGAATGCTGAAGCTACGACCTGTAGTTAAATACATGTTTGTTATTGGGTTTTTATACTAGCATATCCGATTTTACCACCTCATTATTCCAAAGTAAATATCAAGTTTTGTCAACTTACACATTCCAGTGTATACTCAAAAATGTGTCTTCCTGCTTGTGTGTACATTTTTGCTACAAAAATATTGTTGCTATCATAGAACATATATATTACAGAAAAAGTGAAGTACTATAATCATGACAGTGAAAAGCATGCAGTGTATGTAGTGGTATAAACACGTAATATGCGTGATCAATGTTTGATTTACTTTAAAATAATAAAAGAAGAAATCAAATTTAGAAGAGTGTCCTAAATTGAGTAAAGTGACCTTGAGTGATTTCAATGAAGATTATCTTGTTTTTGGTGATAATACACCATGACCTCCAATGCATACCAGCTTATTTTTTTTTCAAGATTTTTGTCCATACCAACTAATTTTAA